AGAGCAGTTTCTGTCAAGAGCTCTCTCAGCCCCACCTACCTCACAGGGTGTCTGTTATGGGGAGGGGAAGGGAAAGGAGTTTGTAAGCAGCTCTGATACACCTTTGAGTAGTGAAGGGCTGGGTATAAATCCAATATCTTCTGTTCTTCTTCTTCAATCTACCCAGACACTGCGCTCAACCTCTGGGGCCTTCCTCCTGGTGCCAACTCCTCAAGAGGCTCAGAAGGTGGCAATTAGGGGGAGGGCCTTTTTAGTGGTGGCCCCCTGCCTTTGGAACAACTTCCCAGCTGGGGCATGCCTGGGGCCAGACTTGCCATCCATCAGGTGCCAGGTCAAGACAGCCCTCTTCACAGGAGGGCCTTCAAAGATCTATTTGGACATTCAGGGGCCTGACATGATTAGCGAAATGGTGCTGTTAATGGTTCTTGCTGTTTCTACTGTTTTCTATTAATTCCTATTGTATTTTACAGTTTTGTACTGTAAACCACCCAGAGAGCTTCAGCTACGGGCAGTATAGAAATCATCATCCTAACTGTTTATTGGTCATATATTGTACATTCTTGCACATTCTTTTAATGTCTCATTAATTATACACTGTGGGGTTCTTGGATTTGGGGGCTTCAATCTGAATCCAGTACAGCATCCCTTATTGGCTACAGCTGCCAGAATAGCTGTTTTCTGGAACTCAGCTTGGCAAATGTTCTACCTTGCAGGGCTAACTTCTTGATCTTAAGCCTGGGAGGGCTAGGGACTTTGTCTCTTGGTCTCTGGCTGGTGTGTTAATTAAGGGGACCAGTGGTAGCAATACTCAATCAAACACAAGGTGAATAAATAATGAAAGGGATACTTCCTGGCTGTTTTTGTACCAGACATTTTTTTCTGTTTGGTAATGCTATTTTATTACACTTCTTCCTTATTTTGGGTGTTGTCATGCATTTGTCAAGATTGCTTATTGCCACACAACTGAACCTGGGGGTTGACAGGAAACAAGAGAATGATGATAAGATCTTGAGACTGTGAGATGGAACCAAGGATGTCATTTCAGGTTTCAGTGAGATGAGGGAACAGATTCACCTCAGAGCCAAAGGCCCATTCCTGAACATTGAAAAGCCACACTGTTGAGAAGTGGCATGTGTTAAGGGTGTGAACTGATTATTTTACCTACTTCAGTGGGTTGGATTTTCTGCTGAGTCTGCTCTGCTAACAGCAAGATCTTCCTTGAGCTTCCTTTGGAAGAAGAGGTGTGTTTCACTGGTGGCAGTCTGCTTGTACTGCAGGAAATTCTGCTGCTAGAGGCACAGCTTCATCCAGTCCAACCTGGTTCTAGCAACACATGAATATCATTTCTGAAAAGTACTGGGTTCGCCGCATGGAGGACTCGGAAAACGACATGTTGTAGCACACGTTTATTGTACTTTACATAGATTGTGGCCTGTGACGGGGTTAGGCATCGTCTGGTAGGTCAGAAGGAATTGGGCGAGGCGGAACTCCCAGTCCCCTTCGGAGATCCGGCTGAGGGCTTCCTTCACTGTTCGCACCATTCGCTCTGCCTGGCCATTGGTTGCGGGGTGGAAGGGCGCTGAGTGGATGTGCCTGATCAGATTCCTCTGTAGGAACTCCTGGAATTCCGCAGACGTGAAGGCCACCCCATTGTCCGAGACTATAGTGTCCAGCAGGCCGTGTGTGGCGAAGAGCCGGCGGAGGCATCGGATTACCGCCTTGGTGGAGGTGGTGGACACGGGGTTGACCTCCAGCCATTTGGAGTAGGAGTCAACCGTGATCAGGAAGGTTAGTCTTTGGAATGGTCCGGCAAAATCGAGATGTAGCCGGGACCATGGTTTGCGGGTTGACTCCCAGGACTGTGAGGGTGCGCTTGGCAGGTTGGGCCGAACTTCCTGGCACTTCTGGCATCTCTGGACTCATGACTCGATCTCGGCATGCATTCCTGGCCACCACACGTAGCTCCAAGCCAGAGCCTTCATCCTCACAATGCCGGGGTGTGCCTCGTGGAGAGCCGCGAGAACCCGCTGCCTAAGAGCACTAGGGACCACTACCTGGTCTCCCCACAAGAAGCACCCCTTGAGTGCCGACAGCTCATCTTTCCAGGTGGTGAATGCCGCGAACTCGGCCCCCGGGGAGGAAGCCGGCCACCCCCTCACCACCCAGCCCAAGATTTGGGAGACCAGGGGGTCGCGTTTAGACTTGGCCGTGACGTCGGTGGCCTGCAGAGGGGGCTGCGGAAGGTCCTCAAGGAGCAGAACCCCCGTGGCAGGCGCCGGGTCAGTGTCCGCGACTGGAAGCGGCAGTCTACTCAGGGCGTCAGTGTGGCCCATCGCTTTCCCCGGGCGGTGCATCAGGCGGTACTGGTACCCCGCCAGGAAAAGTGACCACCGGAGCACCCGGGGCGACATGACTTGCGGCGTTTGCTTGTCAGTGGCCAGGAGGCCCAAAAGGGGCTTATGGTCAGTCACAATCGTGAAGGGGCGCCCATATACGAAGTTGTGAAAATTTTTACTGCTGCCACAATCACCAACCCTTCCCTATCTATTTGTGCATTGTTGCGCTCCGCAGCCGTCAGAGTCTGCAAGTAATATGCTACGGGGACCTCGCTGCCATCTGGGAGGATGTGGTCAAGAACAGCGCCAATGCCATAGGGGGAGGCATCGCACGTGAGGACGACCGGGAGGGATTCATCAAAATGGGCCAACACATCATTCGAGATCAGCAGCGCTTTCACCCCCCTGAACGCTGCCACCTCCTTTGGGCCCCATGTCCACGGGGCAGACTTATCAAGGAGCCAGTGTAGGGGCTCTGCTACCACAGCCTTGTGGGGCAAAAAGGCGTGGTAAAAATTTACTAGTCCCAAGAAAGCCTGAAGTTCCGCTTTACGTGGGGGCAGGAGCCTCCACGATGGCCTTTACTTTGTCCTTAGCTGGGTGCAGGCCAGTAGCGTCCACTGAACCCCAGGAAGTCCACCTCCGAAACCCCGAGGAGACACTTCTCTCGTTTCACCTTGAGTCCAGTCGAGTCAAACCGCTGCAGGACGGTGCGGAGACGGGAGGCGAATTCGTCGGAGGTCGCGGCGGAAATCAAGACGTCATCGAAGAACAGCGTCACTCTAGGGATCCCTTTTAACAAGGAGTCCATTAGTTGTTGGAAAATACCCGGGGCGACACTCACCCTGAATTGTAGTCTATTTACCCTGAATGCTCCCCTGTGGGTGACTATGGTCTGCGCGGTTGCCGTGGCCTCGTCAACCAGCAGCTGTTGGTAGGCTTGCGCCAGGTCTAGTTTCCCAAAAATCTTGGCCCCTGCAAGCGAGGCCAGCACGTGGCTGACTGGAACCGGATAGGAGTGGTCGTGCAGGGCTAACTCTAACGGCCAACAGGGCCCAACTATATACATATCCACCAGCAACCCCCCCCCACTCCCATTGGAGGGTTTGAATGTCCCGCCAAGGTGGCTATTGGTTGGGGCTGGGGGATCCAGGATCCGAAGTTTCCTTTGTTCTTGGATCCAAGCTCTGGCCTGTCCGCGGACCACTGGAGGCGGTCCACGTACATAACAATTTCTGGGGAGGAAACTAAACAAATAAGTTGGTGCCAGTGACATGGATGCTAACTATCCACTTAATTGTGGGTTTGACCTGTGAGGGAGATGTTGGTGTTCCTGAGAACAATAACATGAGGTCTGAAATGGAGGAGGGGCAGAGAAATACTGTTCCCTAGACACCCTAAAGAGTACTCTTCATGGAAAACAGTCTTCATTGCAACTGTGTGGATGCTACAACGCCTCTGCATTGGTGGGGCTCATGAAAGGGAATCATAGAATCCTCACCCTGTGGATGCAGCCTTGGTTGTGGAAGTCCTTATGTGCCCATGACTTGTCTAAGTGGCCAACGGAATACCCCACCTTGGGCCTTTGATTAGCAGAGATAAACCAGATTAAAATTCTGAAAATAAGAACACAAGCAAAAACCCAGTTTATTAAGGCAATATGTGCAGAAACAGAGTCCCTCAAAGCCAGGCTGGCAGATGTGATTTAAGTAGGATAAGAAGTCAAGAAGGATTGCCTCTCCCATACCTGGCAAACTTGGAAATGCCATTCTTTGCACAACAAAACCAGTCTCACTCTAGGACCCATAGGAAACGCTGTTGCATGAGATCTAAAGGAAGGCAAGGTAAGGAAGTACAGGTGCATGCCTTCGGACTCCGTTCAAGAAGTGAAAGTAACAGCTGCACCGGCCTGTACCCTTTGTTTTTGTGTAAGAATTAAAAGACAGACAGAGGGGGACTGCAAGAAAGAGGTGAGGGGCAAAACTCCGGAGCAGAGGAGACTCCATGGAAGCGGGAAAACACAAAAGCGCATCCAGCACCTAGAAGAAAGGGAGGCTAACTTGAAGCCGGAAAGAAGGCTAGAAGACCCCTGGAGAACATTTTCGCGCAGGCGCTAAAAAGAAAGAAGCATGCCTTCGCAAAGTGCCTGGGCTCCAACGGACTAAGGGTGCAGAGTTTGGGAACGGGCCACCTTTTCACTTACGCAGAGGTGGCCAACTTTTTGTTTAACCAGAAAGGGGCCACACGAAGCCCCTTACTCACTGGCTCAAGTGGGCCTTACTCCTGAGTAAACATGGTTGAACTTAAGCTGGCGCGGTGAAGCCGCGCCCTCGAAAGAGAAAGGCCAGGATGAGGCCATCCCAGGGTTAGAAGGACAGGAGGAGGAAGCCACGGGCGTCCCCGACGGCTCGCCTCTGAAGCCGCAGGTGCATCCGCGCGGACAGAGCCGCCTCCCCTCCGCCGGCCGGGGGAGTTTTGCGGGCGGAGTCGGATTCTCTCCTCGGGTGAGGCGGGGTCGTTCCCGCCGGGCGCGCAAAGCCTCGGGGCGGAGCTAGGAGCGTCTGCCGCCTGGAGGGCTTGGACTTTGCTTCGAGGCGCTCTCGTCTGCTGCAGGACCGTCCCGGAGAGAGACGGCGATGGAGGATGAAGGGAACTGATCGGCGACGGCTCCCGGCTGAGGTAGAGCCCTTCTATGGGTGAGTTGGGGGCGGTTTGGGACTGAGGGTGACCTCACCTGGCGGGGCCAGGTGAGGGTGGCCGGCTGTGCCGTGGCCCCCCAAGAGGCAGAAATCCGGACAGCCCTTCCCTAACTGGGACAGAGAGTGATGGGGAAGGCAGTACCTGCTGGTGATTTTTAGGTGTCATGTTCTTAAAGGAGACCTGCAGAAGAATGGGGGCAGATGCGCTCTGCTTGCCCCGCTGCCGCGTTTGCCCTGCAGAAGGTCGGTTTGGGTGCTCTTCTGGAAACTCTTTAAAGGGCGGTTGGTTTGAAGTTTCCCCTTCCTTCGATTGGTTTTTGGGTTTGTCGTGATCCGGATACTTGTTGATACACTATTAAAAATATTTTACTGTACGTATTTTTTCTTTGTTTTTTTAAAAAACTTTTTATTTAGAGAACTTTTGGAACAATCTATAATGCAGCCATAACAAAATAACATTTGAAGAGAGATGAACAACATATAGAAGCAATAATACAAAGTACAACAGGGCAACAAATTAATATAATGCAGTAACCTTACATTTTTCAGACATTAGCCTTTTTGTCCTATTATCTTTTTCTATGAAATCTAAAAAAGGGAACTATCACTCTAAGAAGTCCAATTGATTTGTCAGGTTCTCAACTATTGAACTGACTGTTTTTTCCTAATGTAAGCCACTACAGTTGTTGCGTAGCATCACCAAAAATGTGTGAGAATTAATATCCATATTGTAACAATTGTTCCTAATTCTCCTGTGTTGACGTTGTTCCTGGCTGTCACATGTTATTTGATGTGTGTGTGTAAACTGAAGCTGAATGAATTCGAATTTGATCCTCCTCTTCATTTATAGCCTGCCTTTCTCACTGAGACTTGAGGTGAATTACAAAAATGTGAAAAGCAATTCGATCAAACAGCAGAGACCTCCAATAAGCAATGTATTAGGACTAGGATTATAGTTAGCAACCGCATATAGCAATCCTCACTGATTCATCTGGAATGTAATACTAAATCTGTGTAAAATGGCTAAGAAAAGTGAAGATGTTATATACTTCTCTGTGTTAACCATTAACAAAAGTCTTAATAGTTATTGAGCTAGATTCGAGTCCGGTAGCACCTTAGAGACCAAAAAGAGTTCCAGGGTACATGTTTTCGAGAGCCAGAGCTCCGTTTATCAGACACAATAGAAAAGTAGATTGGAGTCCTTTTACCTTAGAAGGGGGAGGTGTGCTGTAAAGCCAGTTTTGTGTAGTGGTTAGGAGTGCAGACTCTAATCTGGGAGAACCGAGTTTGATTCCCCACTCTTCCACACACAGCTGCTGGTGTGACCTTTGGTCAGTCACAAGTTCTTTCAGAGCTGTTCTCTCACCAGCAGTTCTCAAAGGAGGTCTCTCAGCCCCACCTACCTCACAGGGTGTCTGTTGTGGGGAGGGGAAGGGAAAGGAGATTGTAAACCATTCTGAGACTCCTTTGGGTAGTGAAGTTTGGGGTATAAATCCAATCTCCTCTTCTTCTAAAGAATGCTTGTAAAAGATGCAGAGGTACAGTGGGCAATTCTGCATTGGCTTTTCCCTCCGTTGTTTTACGAAACCCACGTTGGAACACAAATTTCCCGTTGCATTGCATGCAGCTTTCACTTTCTTTGATCACTGGGTTTTATGGTGCCTTTTTCATGGATTTATTACTGTTCAGGGGTGACTTTGCAGTCAGTGGCTTTGCCCTGAGGTATTTGAATGTGGTTTTGAGCTACTCCTTTTCCTCAGTGTTGAGAAAATGTGGAGCGAATGCTAGATGCAGAATTGCCCAATGTCTATTGTTAGCTTGATTAGAGCAGAGGGGAAATGCTTGGGGGCAGAAAATTCATATATGTGATGAGATTAATGGTTAGGGAATGTGTCTTCATCTAATGAAGTAGTGGTCCTTGTGTGCTTTAGATGCTAAGGACCCAGTCCAAAGAAAATGACTACATTATTGGCTGAAATGGATAGCATTTAACTGAGCCGTACCACATTTCTGCTCAACAAAATTAAACATAACTTTCTTTAGGCTGGGGCCTAACACTATAAATTTAGGAAGAATGGGTAGATTGATCAAATGAAGTCACAGATTACCCCATCCTCTAGCAGATTAATACTGTGTGAGTAACCAGTGAGAGGTATTCAAGATAATACAGGTGTTCCAGGTCCTTTCTCTCTGTACCAGATGTGTTTATATTCAAATCCATTAGATGCTGCACCTTTCAGAATGAAAGGCTATGATGGCGGACAAATGAAGGTGACAGCGCTCTGCAGAAATCCATCAATATACTTCTGGGTCTTGCATTGTATTGCTAGGTGCTGAACTTGTTTTGTTTATTAAAAGTCATTTTAAACTCTGGTGCCTAGCCATAGTCACAAATTGGTGAAGAAAGAACACTTAAAATATCATCAAGCCCCTTTAAATCAGTTGGCAGCTCTATTAAGAAATTGTAACAGTTCTGTGTGCTTCATGGGGGGTAGAGAAATGTTCCTGTTATGCAGACAGTGCAGATACAGAGTTACATCACTTTTTCCATCAATGCAGCACATATGAATTCATCTCTAGTATGATCAGTTTGGCAGGTTCTTTTTCTATGCTGGTTATCGTATCAGGAGCCAGGTAAAATATTTTTATCTGCGTAGTGCTGCTGCTACCCTGGGTTGCATTTTTTAATCTCACTCTAACTTGACTCCTGGAAACTTGCTTTTCTTGATGCGGCTGATCACTAAAAACTCATAAAGGCATCAGCCCAGGGACTTTTTAAAAGGGGTGAGGTGATCAATTAGAGCAAAATAATCTAGTTTTATTTCAGATAAAAGTAGTCGTCAGCGCAGGTATTTCTTCTGAGTTATTCAGAGTAGCTTAGGGAATTCATCTTGCGTAAATGAAGTTTAACTTTTTGACTATCATCCCAGGCATCTTTCATTCAAAATTCCCCTAGTGGGAAGTTGCAATATCAGAACATTCTGTTCCAATACCAGACCATGCTCTTGCACTTACAGTCTGAACCACCTGATTGCTTGGGCGTGTTTGAGTATGTCTAGCCATTTGATGTAGCTCACTGAAATCAGTTTGCTTCAGTTTGAACTAGCCCTGTAACTTTCTTTATGTTCGGCAGCCGGCACATACTCATCCCAATGTATTTTACAAGAATGGTACTGGGTGCTTTATTACATCAGCTGGGATGTCTGGGGGGTTGGATTCTTCAGGTGTTGAGGGATTTATGTATTTGCTTTTTAATGATTTTCCTGATTCAATAATACTGTTCTTTAAACAGTGTGTAAATACTAGCTTGTGTGGGCCAGCCTTTGCTTAACTGTATAAAGGACACAGTTTACTGTAGTCCAGAGAATTACACCAGCAGGAAAACCTTAATTGCTTATGAAAAATCTCATGTGGAGCCATAGATTGCCCAGTTTGTCTATGGCTTGGATCCACTGCACCATTTCTGTGTTCAGAACAATTTCTACCTGCACAGCATAACCCCCTCCCCCCAATATTGGCTTGCAGTGGGAGCGGGGAGGGGAGAAAGTTGCACTTTATGGACAAAAATTGTTCTGTCTGTGGAAAGTTAAACCACTTAGTGGGTGAATAGTCTGAATAGCCTAGGCTGCACTCTCTCATCAGAGCTTGGAAGCTATGCAGGGCTGGCCATGATTAGTACTTGGATGGGAGACCACTAACGAAGACTAAGGCTGCTGTGCAAAGGAAGGCAATGGAAAACCTCCTCTGCTCATTTCTTGCCTTGAGAATCCTGTGGTCCTGGGGTCACCATGAATGTTGCTTGCAACTTGACAGCACACAATTATTATTAGTGAGTGATTTGGTTTTTAAACTATCCAAGAAAGAAGTACTGATGCTTGCTAAGAAGTTTGAATTCTTTTTATTACATTTTTCTAGAATTTGTGTTGCCTTGTAACTTTTTAAATTTTGAGCTACTAAGGATAACACCCCCCCCCACTTTACATGTATTGTGTATAATGTCTTCATTTTAACTTCACGGGTAAACTAAAACCATTGCCTTCCCTTGGTAAGCAAACTACTTTTCTCCTGGCCTTCACCTGAATCAAAGCACTCATGTCATGAAACATAATAGCTTCATTCACTCCTATTTATCACATCTGCCACTTCCTCTACACGCTTCCTTATCCAACTCAGTGAGCATATTTGCAAGTCACAGGAACAATATTATCTAAAGGAATACAGGGCATAACCTGGGCCCTTGCCTATCACAGCCCTGAAAATGTGTCTAGAGCACAAATTTAAAACTGTTTTAAAGCTAGGCAGGCTCAGTGCCTTTTTAGTGTAATCAGTTACATTTTGCAGCACTCTGTCTGGTTCAAGATCAGGTCAGTCAAATATGTGGATAGTTGTTTCAGAGTTGAGGCATAGTAACTCTGGGCTCTCTTGCTCTACTGTTGATTTCTGCATTCTGAAACTTTCAACTGGCGTTCTTGTTTCTGAATGGCCACAACTAATAAGAGGACTTGGTATATTGCTTTTCTCTGTTTAAAAAAACCCATCTTCTTAGTCAGCAACATGACTTTTCTGTTTTTATGGCCATTCTGAGTCAAGTTTTCTACTTCATAGTTTCAATTGCATTTGCTTCCATGTACTTTAAATTTTGTTTTGACATTCTTGGTGTTAAAATCTCTGCTGATCACTAACCAGGACTGGATAATCAAACTAGGCCACTGTGTTTCTAGCTTTTCCATCTAGAAATACAGTCCAGGGAAGGGCCTGAAAGACATTGTAGTATTAGATGGAATTTACACATACCACTTAAAATACATTTTGGCCCCTTTCTTAATGTTGTGCACATATAAAAAGCTGTTGTGAATATGCTTTTCATGGGTTTCCAATTGATGGCCTTTTGGAAAGGTTAACTTACATCTCAGCCTTGTATGCTTTACTACATACCGTAACTTCCACCTGGTTTTGTTCCTTCCACTGATAGAAGACCTCCCAAATTCAGGCCATCT